AAATGTTGATACGAGTTATTGGTGACTTCAATCTTTCTAGATTCAAAGAATCACCACCATCAACTCCATTCAATGATAAATGTGCTGTTGGTGTTTGTGTTGTTGATTGTATGTTTTTTGTTATGGTTATCTCTTTTGAACGTATATTAATTATATTGGTTATATTGGAATAAATTAGATTCTGAGAGTCTTCATAAGTTTCTTCTTGTTCAAATGAAATCGATTCTCTACTTTTTAAATTGCAAGTAGAAATAAATATTGAGGATGGATTTGGTAAAGTTTCTTCCAATATATCGTTACTTAAATCTGAGTCAATTAATGGAAATTTATAATTCTCTGAGCTTGTAAAAACTTGAAACAATGATTTGGCCAAGTGGTCGAATACATCAGTATTAAGCATCCTGATTTTTTGAAAATTATTTATTAACCTGAAACAACTACCTATCATCCTTTTTTTAATAATGCAAATTTAAATCCGTGAAACATACATTATAACAATTTAGAAAGGATTGACGATATTTGATCACAAAATTGATTGCATGATCATTATAATTATCCCTATGTTTCACAAAAAAAGTTTTTATGTATATTAAAACCCTGAGTGTATGGTGCATATTTAAAAGATCTTCTCAAATATTGATATGTAATAGTAAATAAAATAATATTATTGTGTAAATTTTTCTATGATTGTACAAAAACCTGTAATTCCGTCATTTATAATATTTTGGTATCATACGATTTTTAAATAGCGGTTATCATGGCCTGATCCAAAATTTAATTATTCTGATTTTAGAAATGTTTTTATGATAATCATACCAACAAAAAACAAGAGTTTAAATAGGTTGCTGCGAGTTCGTGTAATCATCACATTACAGTCAGACTCTCATATAGTCACACATCTCGAGACCATAGCGAAATTTCAAGAATTTTGGTGACTATAGTGTTTGTGACTATACAGAACATTTTTTTACGATGTAATAGCAGGGAATTTTTCAAATTAACAAAAAAATGTGACTATACTATATAGGATGCGACTATATAGGAGTCTCTGACTGTACCCAGAAAATTTAATACATTGCATTCAATTTTTTACATTTTCAATACAAAGCATATTCTTCTTTTACAATGTTGTTAGGTTTGCATAGTGATGTTAGCCGGCTAAGAAATTTATCGGCTTACACGGCTTATCCGGTTAAAAAAATTTCTCTTGACATTCATTTTTACGCCTGGAATTTTAGTGCAGAATTCAATGGCATAGACATTTAGTTGCGATGGGCCACCTACATTACTTAGAATGACAAAAAAAAACATTCATTTACTCAAAAAGCAAAATACAATATATCATAGCAGGATAAAAGTCATTGAGTTCTATTCGTAATAAAAATTCTTATTTTAACTCGAATTATTGTTATTCGTTCTATTCGAATTATTCGTTTTATTCGTTTTATTCGTTTTATTCGTTTATTCGAATAAAACTTTCAATGTGATTCGGATATTCAAATTCATAACAAGTAAAACAAATAATTTGAACCATTAAAGGCGAGATTATTATCATAACAATAATAAATAATAATAATAACGATAGTAGTAATAATAATAATACCGGCAAGCTTAGTACCATCTGAAAAGGTTTTTTCGTCAACTGGGATTTATTAAGTTCTTAGCCGGCTAAGGTTTTTCTATCGGCTAACATCACTCGTTTTGCGATCCATCAATGCTTACAGCCTCCAATCTTTTATACTCTTCCAAAACCGCGAGATCTATTATTGCTAACATTACCAGCATCATCATTACTTGGAGCATTTGAAAGGTTTTGATTGATTTCATTATTATGGATGTATGAATTCAAAAAAGAATAGTCTGTTTTAAATTTTTTAGAGGTGTTAGAACTTTCAACATCTTCTGATTAACTGGTAGATGGCAGTTTTTATGTTTAGCTTTATTTTTCAAGATAGCATTCATTATTATTATAATTTATTTCATTAAATACATGTATAACATGAAGTATAATAAAGTATAAAATAAATAATTGAATATATTTTAATTGTCCATCGTTCGTTTTGGATTTTGGTTTAGAGTCACCCACACATATGTATCAAAAAAGTTTCAATTCAAGAAGATATATATAGTAAAGAATTTTCTGGAAAATTATGCAGAAGTTCATGGATTACCAAGTCCAGGAAGAAATAACAATAGAATAACTCAATCAATTATATTTTTACCAGCTGAAATGGGTTATAAATCAGTCCACAGAGATTTTCTAGTTGGTCTAGAAGAAGATAGCAAATTGAAATCCTTAAAATATGATGCTTTCAGAAAATTATGACATCAATTGACACCAGAGATTCAAATTATGAGTCCCAGGACTGATTTGTGTGATACTTGTCAACATTTTAGAGATGGTTTACATTATAATGCTTGCCAAGAGGAAGAAGCTAA